AAAGTTTTTTGATGGTTTGCTTAAGATTAAAAAAGGTGACCCTGTTTTGAATACTAAAGATGCTAAGTTATTTAATTCTGAATCTGAAACAAATTCTTCGTCGTCGGAGGAAATGGAGAAGAAAGTGAAAAAGAAAAAGCAAAAGCCAATGTATTTGAAGGATGTAGTCTCTAAGCATTTGATTGAGGAGGGTCCCGAATTTGGAGACGAAGAGGAGGAGGAGGAGGAGAAGAAAGTGAAGACGTATTCTGAGGAGCAAGATGATTTGAGAGACGAGTTTTTAAATGCTGTCAAGGAAGAGGAAGAAGAAGAGGGGGACTTGTTTAAGGTGAAAGAGGCTGAGAAAGATAAGGAGGAGGGTGACCCGGAGTTTACTAAGAAGTTGGATGAGTTTTTCGGGGAGGATGATAAACTCGATGAGGAGACGGTGTTTCTAAAGGATTTTTTTAGGAAGGAGATGTGGAGGGATGATAAGGAAAGTAGTAAGAAAGGGGATGAAAAGATGGAGGAGGTGGAATTTTCAGAGGATGAGGAGGAGATTGAGAGACAAGAGGATTATGAGAGGGAGTTTAATTTTAGATTCGAGGAAAATGCAGGTGATCGAGTGTGGGGACATTCAAGGAAGGTGGAGGGATCAGTGAGGAAGAAGCCGAATGCGAGGAAGTTGCAGAGGGAGAGAAAGGAAGAGAGAATGGTGCAGGCAGAAGAGGAGAGAAAAGAGGAGTTGAAACGATTGAAGAATCTGAAGAAGAAGGAGATGAAGGAGAAGCTTGAGAAGATTAAGGAGACTGCTGGGATAGGAGATGACGGGGTTTGTTTGTTGGATATGGATGATTTGGAGGAGGAATTTGATCCAGACAAGTACGATAGAAAGATGAAGGCGTCTTTTGGTGATGCCTACTATGACGGGGATGATATGGATCCTGAATTTGGAAATGATGAGGATGAACTTGAGAAGCCAGATTTTGACAAGGAAGATGAGTTACTGGGACTCCCCAAGGGATGGGATAATGTGGACGAGCCTCGTGATGGGTTTTTATCAACTAGGGAAAAACTTCTGAAAACTATAGAGAATGAAGGTGATCACGAGCAAACAACAGATGACAATAAAATAAGTGAAGATGACGATGAGGCTGCTGAAGAAGGTAAACGAAAGAAGAAACGGAAGCGAACTAATACAGTTATGAAGGCAGTTAGAGAAGAACTAATGGAGGAGTATTATAAATTGGACTATGAGGATACTATTGGGGATTTGAAGACAAGATTTAAGTATAGGCCTGTCAAAGCTAAAAGATTCGGGCTTGCTCCAGCGGAGGTGCTAATGATGGAGGATACGGAGTTAAATCAGTATGTCCCTTTGAAGAAGATAGCGCCATATAGAGAAAAGGAATGGAAGGTATCCCGTTTGAAAATGTTGCAACTGAAAGATGTGCCAAAATCTGACAAGAAGCCAAAGTTTGATAATAAGGAAAAAGTTGAAGCTGAGACCGATGATAGAAAAAGGAAACAAGAAGAATCTGATGGAGACACAAACAAACAATCCAGGCGAAGTAGGAAACGAAAGAAACAAGCTGAGCATAAAGTATCTACATCAAGGTTTAAGATATATTCAGCTACCCTATCAGGGTCAAACAGCAAAAAGAAGTAGCCGCCAGTTAATGGGGGAGCAGTTTTGTATTACAGGTAGTTATTTAAGAATTATTTTGCAGCATGTTCGTTTTTAAAGTGGTTTGTTCGAATCATATTATTTATTTCAGATTGTAATTCTGTTATGTGGAAAAAAATTGTATCTGGTATTGTTTTAGTTGAAACTATCAAGTACATTTGTTTCATGATGCTGTATTGTGGAAAATTAATGAAGTAGTTCAGAAGTTTAAATGTCACTATAGTTTTAAATGCCTGGAATTGTTGTAGTCTATCTGAAATCAAGTAAACAACTAACATAGAATCCTTCAGACTACTGTCGGTCAGCTCTATTATCATACGGATGATGAGTCTGCTTTGTAGATGTATAGTGGTTGTGTGATCAAATACATGTCCTATATACCATTTATCGTAGATAGATTTGAGAATAGGTGTGATAGCAAGGTCCTTTTTTGTGTTTTCCCCCCTGTATTGAACCAAAGCAATGGGAGAGAGAAGAAGAGTTACACCAGTAGAATGGGAGAACGGTAGAAGTGTATTTGTGGTAGTTATTTGTGTATTAGAAGTGAATAGAAATTTACTTTTTATCAGAAAAAGAGTTGAGTATCACAGCACTATATCAAACAATGAGGTGGGTAACGGATTAATTGAACATCAAGTTTGCTATGCATTGAGAAGAATCGATTATTGTTTTGTTAAGTAGAATTGCCTCAATTCATTTACTTAACTATAAAGTTGGTTTTCATTTCTGTGCAACTCTCATGTACTAAGGTCTTCTCTCTGGCATTGATCGCAGTTATGAAGCAAATTGCTGATTACAAGGTAGATATCCGGGAGTTCATGTTGTAGCTTTTAAAGATGCAGATACACTTCACCCGTGCAGCTTAGTTTGAAAAAACGTCTGAGTTGCTGAAGTCCGTTGTCATGCTTGAGGAACTTATTTGTTGAGTGGTAGGAGCTAAGCGTTTAATAGGAAGTTCATATTTATTGGAATTTTGCAAATTAAATTTCCTTCTTTTGCCAGTTTTTACTAAGAGTGTTGAGATGAAACATGTACCAGATTACTCATTCTGTCCTAAAACAAAAGGATTTTGCTAATGCTAGTATTTGTTCTTTACAACAACCCCCTCTTTTTGCTGCTTGTTAATGACAAACCTGTGGTTTACCCCTTGTGTGTGGCGAAGTAGTCCATGAGGTGGGTTGAGAACCATGGAATCTCAGGTTCAAATCCAAGACAAACACACTAGGTATCATCATTGCAAATGTTAGATTACAATATAATGTTTTGTTTGTAAGGTTGAGAAATATATGAGTAGACGTTAGATTTGAGTCTGAAAGAGTATATTCTAACTTAATCTGATAGCATAAAAGTTCTTTACACCGTCAGTACATATAACTAAACTCTCTTTCAAGAACACACGTCATACCATCTTCAAATTGAAGATATTGGAGCAGGTGCAGGAGCAGTAACAATGCTACAATAATACATCAATATAAAACCAAAACTTGGATTAAAAGGGAAAATTTTAGGCCAACATTTACTATCAATTTTATTAACCACTTCACAACAAGAAGAATCAACCCATCCAACACCAGTAAATACTTTATAAACTCCTTTTACACAACCATTTATGTTTTTAAGTGATGACCAACATTCAACAACTCCATCATCATTAGGGCTTGGTGCCAATTTAATTGGATCAAATCTAGCCATGACTAGTGAATTTGTCATGCATAATATACTGAAAAATGCAAATAGCTTTAGGGATTCTGTTGCCATCATTTTTTGAAAAATAAAATAAAAAATCCCTTCCTAGTTTTGAGATTTTTTGTTTTTGGATGATATTTGGTGGATTTTGTGTGAAATTGTTAAGGTATTTACAAAGAGATACAACATAAATTCATTTATCAACTAATTTAAAGTAATGAATTACCTAAAGTTACAACAAAAAAGTAACCCCTTAAGCAATAAATAATAATCCTAATAAAGTCTTTTAAAACACTGATCCATATTAATTGTGATGGTCAATTTCTTGGTGGATTATTGCCTAATTTTGGAGGATTAATAGGTCCTGATTTAATCACTCGTTTGGTAGAGTGTATCAAAATAATGTCAAATAGAGTTTTTTTAATGCTTGTATTGGTTATACTTACATTAATTATACATAGATAATTTTTATACATTTTTTGGTTTGGTGTATTAAAAATTGTATGCATTGCATAAAAATATCCTTTACAATTATAACGAAAAAGATGCAAAAGGGGTTTTGAGGGGTAATTGGTTCTTTAATTATCCTAATGCATGGATTAAATCTCTTACATTAATTATACATAGATTAAAAAAGTGTACTAAATAAAATATTATTAATACGCAGAATTTATACATGTAATATTTCTTCAAATATACCCAAACAAACGACCCCTAAATGTTTAACATCAGTTAATGATGTTCCTAATTGTATTGAAGAAGTTATAACATCTTTTTTAAGTACTCAACCCCATTTACTTGGTCCTCAATGTTGTAAAGCTGCTTTAAATATTGATGATGGATGTTGCCCAATTTTATTTTATTTTTCGTTTAATCCATTATTCCACCAGTTAATAAGAATTTTTTGTTCTTCAGATAGTCATTCGTATGAATTACTAGGGAGTCGAGATTGATCTCTCCTCAATGTCTTTTGAGTCGAGTCTGTCGTATAGGGCTTGCATAGTGTGGTTTTCATCTTCTGTGTGGTTTGCTGGCTATTACACGGTGGATGGTTCACCCAGTGTGCACAAAATGCTCACTCGAAGGGCAGAGATTGTGACAAAGGTTGTAGCAACTGCGGATTAATATCCTGGGATTAAAAAAAAGTGCTTTTGCTCCACTAATTAAAGCTCAAATAATCACTCCACCACTACTCATATAGTGTAAATGAGATGTATTCCCGTTATAATAGGTTAAGATACATTAATAGTGTAAATATTTTTATATCGCGTAGATAAGTAGTATTCGAGTGAAAGTAAGATATTTGGTATTTTGATATATCACTCTTTTATATATTGATTGAATATAGACGAGATGAGGTTTTTTATATACTTTTGAACAATACTCACTCTTTATATATATTTATTGATTGAATATAGGCGAGGTGAGGTTTTTTATATACTTTTGAACAATACTCACATTGTAAACTGACATTTCAAATTAAGTTAAAGTCAACAAAATGTATTATTTCCATTTATCCCCGAAATTCTTGGCTTTAAAATCAAAACAAATAATTATTTTTTTATTATTTAAAAAAGAAAAATATTTTATTTTTTTCATTTCATTTCATTACAAAAAATATGTAAAAGAGCAATGCATTTCTTGTTTCTTTTTTTTTTTTCACCTGAGAAACAGGACTTAAGAGATAAATAGTCTTTTTTTCTCTTAGTTTTTTTTTCTCCGGTGACCGTCGCCGCACGGTTCACCGTCGACGGGAAAATTAGGGCTAATTTTTGGGAATTTCGAAAAAACGTTCTAATTTTCCAATTGAAAATTTTGATGATAGTGTTCATGAGTGTGTGTTGGTATTATTTGAATTCGTTTCGAAAAAAAATAATTTGAAATTAGGTCGAAATTTCAGGCGAATATATTGTTGATGATTTTGAGGAATTGTATTTGTGCCTAAGATATGATATTAGGTAGATTAGTGAAAAGAGGTTGGCTGATTTGGTTTCCATGTTGTATGACGATGGATGATAATAATCAAATTAGTTCTTTGGAAGATAGTATCATTCATCAATGCAAAAACGCCAATTCTCCAGCACAATTTGCCAACATTTCTCTTAAAACTGGTAATTTTTATGCGTCTTTTCCTCTCATCGTTCGTAGTGTAAGATTGTGTAATTTTGCTCTATTGGAAACAGCCTCGAAAAGGTATGGTCTCGAGACCTCACTTGTGGGATTACAGTAACTGGATATATTGTTGTTGTGTTACATTTTGCAATTTGTTATATGACTTCCTCTGATTTTTTCTGTGTTATATTATGGGAAATGTCTGAATTTACCTTGGAATATGGCAGTTTTGCTCTCCATTATAAGTCATTTGCGCGTTTGGCGTTGATAAATTATTGGACATTGACTTTAACTAACTCCGATTTTATAAGATTATACTGGATATGTTGTTGTTGTTCGACTTTAATGAGTTACAATGTGGAGTGGGTAGATTGTACATGTCAAACTACTTAGAGAAAAGTGTTCAAGTTTACCTTCTTCTATATGAAATATCGTAATTTTACTCTCGTTTAGACATCATTCATGCTCTTGTTGTTAACAAATTACCTGGGTCTCGAGTTTAATGAGCTCTAATGTGGAGTAGGTAGATTGTACATGTCAAAATACTTCAAGAAAAATGTCCAAATTTACCTTCTTCTATGTGAAGTATCATCATTTTACTTTCCTTTATACGTTATTCATGCTGTTGTTGTTAACAAACTATTGGCCCTTGACACTAACGAGTTCCAATGTGGAGTAGGCAGATAAATTCTATGTGTCAAAATACTTCAAGAAAAATGTCAAAATGTACCTTCTTCTATACTAATATATCGTAATTTTACTCTCCGTCATATGTCATTCATGCCCTTCGTTAACCAGTTCCAATGTGGAGTGGGTAGATTCTACGTGTCAAAATACTTCAAGAAAAAGGTCCAAAGTTACTCTTCTTCCTTTGATTATGATATGAAATTACCCTATGTTGGGGGCAAATTCGAGATGTAACTATTTGCTAACAACATGCATATGAATGATTAGTAAGTATAATAAGGGTAAATTCAGACATTCCGTAGAGTAGAGGAGTACTTTTATACTTTTCCCTTATATTATTGAGTTGATGGTCTTCCTTTTATGTTAACCCACAATTTGTTGTTCATTAGTTTTTTGGTTGAAACCTTGCAAATGACTAATGAACACTGTTCACTAATATTGCTTTCGATCAAGGCATTGAGTAATTGTTTGTTTTCTATTTGTGCAAAATATTCAGATAGCAGCAGAAGGAGATACATAGCTACAGAAATAGAAAAGTTTGGAAAAGGGAACATTTCAGCTCAAGCCTTCACGTTCCGTGAGTTGTGTCTTGCAACTCAAAACTTCGACTATGAATGTTTGCTTGGTTCAGGTGGTTTCGGGAAAGTGTACAAAGGCCACATTAAAAGCAAGAATATGGTACTCTCCCTTCATTTTGTTTGTTTGAAAATTGATAAGCTTTCTTCAACTCTAAAAGAAAACAAAGGGAAAATGATTTAACTATTGTTTTTTTCATGTTGCTTAGGCTGTTGCTGTGAAGCAACTTGACAGGAATGGTTTCCAAGGAACTAAAGAGTTTCTTGTGGAGGTCCTACTGTTGAGTCTTCTCCGTCACTCTAACCTTGTCAATTTGATAGGATACTGTTCAGACGGTGATCAGAGAATATTAGTCTACGAGCTCATGCCAAATGATTCTTTAGAAGGTCACCTTCTTGGTATGCATTCATAACCGACCATCTCCAAATTTCGTTAATTGAAGAACTCAAGTTCGAAACCCCTTGCCAGCGAAAGCAAGGGGTTTGCCTTCTGGGTCAAGCTCGTCGCACCGGGCTTGCCTAGTTTTACCTCTCCTATGTGGTTTGCGAGCTATTGCATAGGAGTTGGGGTTTTCCCCTGTGCGCACCCAAAGGGTAGCGGTTGCGGGTTTCCCTTGTCATCAAAATAAAAATAAAAATATGCATATCCAATAACTTGATTAATGAGTGTCATTCACAATAATATAATTTCCCATTGTTTGGCAGAACTTGGTCCAGATCAAAAGCCTCTTGATTGGTATACAAGGATGAAAATTGCAGCTGGAGCAGCAAGAGGACTTGCATACTTGCATGAAACGGCTAATCCTCCGGTGATTTATCGGGACTTTAAATCATCCAACATACTTTTAGATGAGAATTTTGATCCCAAGCTTTCTGATTTTGGACTTGCCAAGCTAGGACCAACAGGTGACAGGTCTCATGTGTCCACCAGGGTCATGGGAACCTATGGTTATTGTGCACCTGACTATGCTTGCACAGGTAAATTGACCGTTAAGTCCGATGTTTATAGCTTTGGTGTAGTCCTTCTAGAAATAATCACAGGAAGAAGAGTCATCGACAGCTCCAGACCCAGCGAAGAAAAGAACCTCATCAAGTGGGTAAGTTTCAAGAATTCAATGTCACTAAACTCCATCATTTCATTTTATATGACACGTTTTCCTTTCTAGTCTGTTAGTGCCAAAAGTGTCTCTTTGTTAAACTACGTGCCTAGCTGTTAGGAACCTTTCTTTATTTGACAAATTGATGGGCAGGCACGACCACTGATCAGCGATAAGAAGTTGCACTTAATTGCAGATCCATTGCTACGAGGGAACTACCCGAGGAAGGCATTGGATAAAGCTCTAACAGTTGCAGCAATGTGCCTGCAAGAGGACGCCAGTACGCGACCATTAATCAGTGAAGTAGTGACTGCTTTAGACTATATATTGAATATCAAGAAACACGACGATGGTCGTAAGGAGGAAACTGCAGATGATACTTATAAATCTCCACCTGCATTGCAAACTATTACAAGTCATGTCGATCGTATTTCAAGTAATAAACCCAAATGTGTTAGAGAAAGATACTAAATCCGTTTTCTGGGCACGAAACACTTGTATTTCTGAGTGTTTTTTCTGGGTTTTGTGTAGTGTTTGTCAGTATGAATGTCCATAGATTTCTTATATACAGGTCATCGAGTTACATTGATAATGTAAAAATTCTTTATTCAGTGTATAACTTAAATACTTAGGAAATCGGATCATTTACCACTTACTTGTATTGATCATCAAAGTACACTACGGTCATCTCCAGACCTCACTTGTGGGATTACAAGAGTATATTCTTGTTGTATTTTTGGAAAAAAGTTATGTGTTTGGATTAGATCTTGATAAAGTATATATTTATTTATTTGTAAGAAACCACACTTTTGGATTATTATTTACTCATTATTTCCCTTTATATTAAAGTTCAATAAATTCCCTAAAAACTATATCAATTTCAAAACCTCATATGAATAAACCCAGAACTTGATAAAACTAAATAAAACTTTTCAAAAAAAAATTGGCATACACTAGTGGCAATCTTGTGATATTGCTATGAATTATGTGCGATAATAATAGGGACTGTTTGGTTTAACGTATAAAACAAAATTATCTTAGTGCAAATTTCAACTTAAATAATATGTTGTTTGGTTGCCTTTTGCCTTTTACCTATAAACAATATATATGTATAAGTTATACATAAATTTATTTATTATTTTATCTTATAAATAATACGAGTATTAATAAAACAAAGATTAAAAACAACAAAATAATAAAATTTCCCCTCACATATTTTTTTAAAATTTCTCTTTTAAAACAACTTTATACGAGATAATCCCCTAATTTTCAAAACCAAACAACCCCTTAAAATTTTAAATGTATTCTAATAATTATACAATAATGAAAAACTTTAACAAAAAGTGATTAATAATCTAATATTTTTCCATAGCTCAAAATATATAATTAGTGAAACTGACTCGAGTGATAAAAAAAAGAAAAAGAAGAGCTAAAGGCCTTATTTTTGTTCAAGAAAAGGGTTTTAGTGGACTCCTCAGCTACTAAATACAGCAATACTCCTTTTTCTCTTCTATCTTTCTGTCTCTCTCAGTATACACAGTACTGATTGTCTTTGTTCTGTTCTTCTCCATCATCACTTGCAGACAAACAAGAAATTAAAACCCTTGTAAAACCCTAAAAAAAGATTCCAACTTTTACAGTTTCAACCCATATTACTCATTTTGTTTATTGTGTGGTTAAAATTTTTAAAAAATAAATATTTGTGAAGTTTATCAACACGGCCGCTCAGTCTTCCCTTTTGAGCTGCACTAGCAATAAGCTAGTTGGCAGAAGAAGTAGAGCTACTGCTGCTGTGGCTATGGCATTTTTGGGTCTTTCTGTTCAATCTTCCCCTTTTAAACCCACTTCTTATGTTTGGTTTTCTCCTCATTCTTTCTCTTCTCGCACTTTTTGGGCTTCTTCTGGTAAAGCCCTTCACAGGTTTGACTCTTCTCCTCACTAAAGTTCATTCTTTATACCTTATGTTATGTGATTATACTGTTGTTTTGATAAAGTTTCTATCTTTACACTTTTAACTTCTTGTTCTTCTGTTTTACTGATGTTTTGGGAGTTTTCCCTATGTGGGGTGCTTATCTTTTGTTTTATTTGGTTACTCCATGTCCCCTTTTGGATTTCAGGGTGAATAATACTATTTGGGTTTCTTGTCCTTTGTTATGTTTAAATGCTTACAGGAATGAGTTTTTGGTGTAGTTGGATTTTTGTGAAGGATTTTGATGATGTATCTGACTTTATAATTGGACTATTACTGGCATTAATATTTTTATAGCTAGTTTCTGTAAGGTGAGAGTGGAATTTGATACTCCATAGACACTTGGAATCAAGTGGAGTAATGCTTTTGTACACCCATAATACCTCTTTGCTGCTGAAGTTGTTAATTAACTAATTTAGTTGCTTAAAAGTACTATAGTAGATAGTCTCTGGTTCAATTCCAAGCAGAGGCGAAATCAACATTAGGTGATTTCTTCCCATTTGTCCAAGCCTAGGTGGACAAAGTTATGTAGTACCTGTGCTTATGGGTGGTAGCAGGTACGTCGCGGAATTAGTTGAGGTTCACGCAAGCTGGCCTAACACCATGGTTATAAAAAAAAGTACTATAGTAAGTAGTTGATAATACAGTTTGGACGAAGATGATGTGCAAGTCAATAATCAGTTTTCTAAGGGGTCGATTGGTACGAGGAATAAGGGATAATAATCTCGGGATATAATGCAGGAGGTTAGAAGTATTAATTAATTCCGGAATTAATTATCTCATCATTTGTGCTACGATGATGAGATAAGTTATCCCATAGATATGATGGGATATCGCAATCCGTGGGATAACTTTGTCTATCCCATCCGGGATCCCCCATACCAAACGACTCCTAAGAGAAATATCAGGTCCCAATGGAGAAAGATTCTAGTGCTGTTTCTTAACTTCTATTATAGGTGGGGCTCCTTCTTATTCTCGTTCTTTGTCTTGTCTTATAAGCTAGGGTGATAAAAATAAAAGAAGGATCCTTTCTGGCACGATCTTTGTATGATATCTTAAAATAAGAAAATGTATGCAGGAAAGAGCTAGAACAGCCCCGAAATCCCTTGTGATTACCGTGGAGGGTGTCAATTTTGTGTTTATTATGGGAATTTGGAACGTATTGGTGATCACGAAATATCATCTAATCTCTTTTTGAAAAGAATGCCATTTGTTTTCTTCAAAGAGGAGGAATTTATTCTTCTTTATCCAGTACTGTAATGCTGATATTATTCCAGTTAGATATCTGTGAAGAGTTTTTGACCATGTATGATCTGATGAATGGGGAGAGAATTGAAAGCATAATGCCAGCTATTTAATGTAGGTTGTGAAGTCCCAGTTTATAGCTAATTGATTTAACCTCTCATTATTTTCCGATTACAAATTGAATATCATTTGCAGGGGGGAAGATTGCAAAACTCGGAGTATAGAAAATGCATCTTCCAGCTTAGCTGTGCTTGGCGATCCCATTAAACAAATATCAAGTCATGAAAGGAAGTTATTCTCTAGTGGATTACAACAGAAAATTGAAGAAGACAGTATTTACGGATGGAATGCTGAAATTGATGCTATTAAAGCTCTTAAAGCAAAAAGCGCCTATAATAGTTTTAAAAAGATTTCAGCGGCAAATTGCAGTGTTAGCGCCTCCACAAATCGGAAGGTGAAAGATGAAAATTTTGATGTTCCAATTGAAGTCAATACGAGAATGATGCGTGAGCGTGTCACCTCTAGCTATTCTGCTACAACCTGTATTTCAGGAAGCAGCTTATCTTCAAAAAGCAAACCACCTTATAACCCTAATAGAGGAGAGAAGAAAGACGTTGGAAACTGGAGAGAGTATAAAAACCATTTGCCTCAACTATCTGTAGGTATCAACCATTCAAGAAACAATGAAGTCACATCAATAAATAAGGTTGATGGTCCTAATGTATCTCATTACAAACCATTGTCAAAAGGTTCCCTTCTTAATGGGCAATTGTCGAGCAAAATTATGGAAGCCAAATTGGAAAAAGCAAATAAACTTTGGGAGGGTAATCCATCTAATCAAATAAGAGACAGTGTGAATGGGACTGATACCAAGGTGGTTACTGTCAAAGCAAAAAGTGTTATCCAGGAGCAAGCAACTAATAAAAGGGAAAAGAATGCAATTAAATCCGTGGCAACTGATTTTGTGAATGGGACTGAGACTAAGATTGTCAGTGATGAAGGAACAGGTTTAGGTCAGATTACCCTCCGTGAGAGGCTGGGTGCAATGTATGAAAAAGTGCATATAGTTGACAATTTATCAGCAGCCAAGGAAGTTGTCAGCAAACTTACAAGTCAGTACAAGCATCTCGTCCATGCATGTGATACAGAGGCATGTCTATGTTAATTTTGTTTGGTTTTTGTGATTTATTGGGAATCTGTGATTTCCATGCACATGGAGAATTCTTCATTTGCTATTACATTTGTTGTCCAGCCACTTTAGAACTTATTTACCCTTTTTGATCATTCATACATAGGTAGCGAATATTGATGTTAAGCAGCAAACACCTGTTGATCATGGAGAAGTTATATGCTTCAGTATTTATTCTGGACCAGAGGCTGATTTTGGTGATGGGAAATCTTGTATCTGGGTAGATGTTCTTGATGGAGGTGGCAAGGACCTATTAGTCGAATTTGCTCCGTTTTTCCAAGACCCATCCATCAGAAAGGTAGCCCTTTTATTTTGTCAAAAAAGAAAGGTAGCCCTTTTATTATGTATCTTTATTTGGGTGATTGACTGATTGTTGGTCCTCTAAATGTCTTTTTCGTGGCTGTCTATTGAAGATCTTTGTTCATGGCTTGTTTCACCTAAAGTCACTTCCCGCATATCATACCATTAACATACAAATTATAATATGCAGTTGTTTATCTGTAGGTCTGGCACAATTATAGCTTCGACAAGCACGTCATAGAAAATTATGGGTTTAAAGTATCTGGTTTTCATGCTGACACGATGCACATGGCACGACTTTGGGATTCCTCTAGACGAATTTTGGGTGGTTATTCATTAGAGGCACTAACAGGTGATTCTCATGTCATGTGTGATGCTAGACTGGTCCATGCTGAAAGGCTGTTCCATGATGAAGGTCTGTTTGGTAAAATATCTATGAAAACTATCTTTGGTCGGAAAAAGCTGAAGAAAGATGGAACTGAGGGTAAAGTAACCATGATTCCTTCTGTCGAAGAGTTGCAAAGGACTGAACGAGAATTGTGGATTTGTTATTCTGCATTAGACTCCATCAGCACATTGATGCTTTATGAGAGCTTGAAGAAAAAACTATCTAAACGGATCTGGACATTCGATGGAGTTCGTAAAGGATCCATGTATGAATTTTATGAGAAATACTGGCGTCCATTTGGTGAGCTTCTAGTTCAAATGGAAACTGAGGGTGTGCTGGTTGACCGTGCCTATCTTGCTGAGATTGAGAAAGTGGCTAAAGCTGAGCAGCTGGTTGCTGTGAATAGATTTCGTAACTGGGCAGCTAAGTACTGTGCTGATGCAAAGTACATGAATGTTGGAAGTGACACACAGTTGCGTCAGCTGTTTTTTGGTGGCATCCAGAATAGGTATAAAGCTTTCA